TATATATATATCTATAAATGGAGGGTTTAGACATTCACAAGACTGTTGGACCAGAAGAGATTCATCGAGCTATCATCAAGCCCATAGCAGACATCATAGCACGACCGGTGTAAAAGCTATACACAGCTTCACTAGACCAGGGAGTTCTACCGAAGGACTGGAAGATAGCAGCGGTGGTGGCAATATATAAGGGGTGAGCCCGATCAGAGTTAGGAAATTGCAGGCTAGTCAGTCTAACCAACATTTTGTATAAGGTGCTAGGAAACATTATTTGCAACCAGGCAGCCAAAAGACAGCAACCAATACCGGCGCACGATAAGGCATGGTTAATGATTGTGCAAACTGAACTGAACCCAGGTAAGTCAGCACCTAACGCAGCACTTTATGTTGTGTCCAACTCAACATGGGTTTCTCAAAAGTAGGTCGTGTTTGACTAATTTACTGTGCTTCTTAGATGAAGTTACCAGAAGATTAGACGAGTAGACGAGTATACGTATGTTACCTTGATTTTAGCAAGGCGTTTGACTCGGTTACTCAAGGCCTGCCATCAATCAACATAGAAGTGCTCGGTATAAGAGGACTAATAAACCAATGGCTGAGGGACTTCTTCGTCAACAGGATCTTCCACGTCAAAGTAGATGACAAGTGTTTCCGTACACCATACGTCACAAATGGTGCACCCCAGGGCTCCTTGCCCGGACCGTTGCTGCTCCTACTACTTACAAATGATCTTGCTGCGCTGTTGAGATTGCCCGCTTTGTTCTTCGCCGGCGATGTCAAGGGGGTTGGATCGAAAGGAAAGAAGAACTTGGGAGGAAGAGATAGCTGCTGTTCTCAGCTGGGCGCATAAGTGGGACTTATCGCTGAATGCTAATAAAAGCCAGTTATTATCGAGGACCGACAAAAGCCTAACAGTGGTGCAGGACCAGGGGCTGTTTACGGTAGAAGGTAAGGTAAATAGGACTAAGGACTTGGGTATCATCGTTACTTCGGATTTCCGTTGGGCCGAGCAGTGCACAGCAGCCGCAGAAAGGCCCGAAGAAGACTCCAGATTGAGGTCAACGCTGCCTTGCCGATGTTCGTGCCTCTGTCCAATGCTATAGTTAGACCTCATTTCGAGTACTGCGTGCAGGTATGGTCACCCTTCTTTAAAAAGAATGTTACCTGTTTAGAGAGCGTTCAGAGGCTCGCAACGAGAATTGTTAAAGTTCAACGGGGAAAGTCGTATGATCAAAGACTTCAGGACCTGAGGCTTCTCTCTCTCTATAGGGGAGAAGACTCCGAGGTGATCTCATCGAAACCTCCAAAATGGTGATGGATTTATCGGGCATAGGTCCGAAGAGCCTGTTTCAGGAATAACTCGATTCGCGAACAAGAAGTCACTTAGAGAAACTACGGAAATCTCGATTCAGGATAGAAGCAAGGTCACACTTCTTCAGTAATCGGGTAGTAAACCTATGGAACCCACTACCAGAAGAGTTAATAGAATTACAGATAAAACAAACATTTAAGCTAGCCCTAGATCGAAGGTGGGACGAAATAGTTTCTGGGTTGAGCATTGATTTAGCTCTCCCATTAGGGCATCTATTGAACACTCACGTACTTTAAGGTCTCTCGTCAAGAAGGTGAAATCTTTAATCTTTAAGTGTTAAGGGCAGTGGGAATTTCCGTATTAACCCAATCGCATTGTGTTCCACTGGACTGATTAGGTATTGGCACTAGACCAGCACTCCTGCATGGCTCTGTCGAGTTTCAGCTTAAAGATGCTATCATTCGGCTCTTCTACCACGTCCTAAGGAAGCGCCTTTCAGAGATTTGTCATCCTCCTCGACAGACGATAGATCAGCGGCAGCCCGTTTGAC